GGGGGGTATTAAATTTTTTCAAGAAAATGAAGGGGGGGGTGCAATTAAATTTGAAGGAATTTGCTTAACAAGCGTGGTCTGTGGCGTGGTACCATTTGGTTGTAAATGTTGCAACTAAATCATGGTCACTGATGTGAAATAGTCTGGATTTATCTTGTCTTCTGTGTGCTGTATGCAAATCAGTCCTCACTGATTGCAGAGATAAATTGACAATGGATTATTACATCAGCTATCTTGATGTGGTTAAATACATTTAAGCAAAGTTAACGGCGGATGTATTATGCAGGGGAAAGGATGTATTATGAGGGGAGTCTGTGATGTCATATCGATCAAAGGGGGTTGTTTCGTGTCTTGTGATTAGTGCTTCGGTCTGGGTATTCATTCTGCCATTGTATGCTTTGCCTAACTCCAGCAAGTTTAGCGCTTAGATACCTTTACCCCACCCATCCACGTTTATTCTAGAGGATTTTATCTGGTACTATGTCATTTTATTTTATATAATTTTAAATCTCACATAAAATAGGATGTATAGACCATGATACATTGTATTTCGTTTCCACTGACTTGTCAGTGTGACTGGTGCTGGAGGTTATCTCCTTTTGCTGCTAATATTACTGATTGTTACTCTCATTGTTGCTGCGCATGCAGCTGCTATGGCAATACTTTGTGCCATCAAGAAAAAATTCCCCTCCCCCCTTCCATAAATAATGACCGGTCCCTAAGCCTTGTAAGTTAGCTACCGTGCCACAAGTTTATTAGCCTCTGGCTATCCATCTACTGTATCTGTCTGTCTATATGGTTGAACAGTTACTATAGCAAGGATGGATTTTCTGGATCCCCTCCCCTGAGAAATTGTGCACCCTCCAACAAAAATGTGCACCCCCCTGTCCCTGCCAAAATTTACATGCACTAAATTATACTACCGTTAAGTAAGATAGAAATATTAACATGCTTCTATATATGCTTTTTTGCAGCAAATTAATATAACGTAAAAGTAAAACACACTTACAAAAAATATGTTTGCGTGCTCATCGGCACACAGGCGGCCCAGACGTGTATCAGTGTATAGTAAATATATCATTATAAAATATACTAAACAATAAAATTTGTAATGAATTTTATATTTTAAAATCATATTTACTTGCCTACTTTGATTGTATGTGATCGTCTTTTATTTCTGAGCGACTTTACATTCGATGCCTGCGACAGTCGCAGGCATCGAATGTAAAGTCGCTCAGAAATAAAAGACGATCACAATCAAAGTAGGCAAGTAAATATGATTTTAAAATATAAAATTCATTACAAATTTTATTGTTTAGTATATTTTATAATGATATATTTACTATACACTGATACACGTCTGGGCCGCCTGTGATCGGCACCACACGTTCGCACATTCACATCAGGGGCAGATTCAGACAGGTTTGACAGGTTTACATAAACCTGTCAGACTTTCCAAAGAATGAAAATCTATAACCTTCCATGTATATAACTGATTTAAAGAATATTCTGTTTCATAAAATTGATGTTGTCTAATCTATTATTGAAATTTGATTATGGACTACCGAGCGTATTTAGACCCACTGATCATTGCTTTGGCGATTGAGAATCAGGAAATGATTGGGAAGCTTTCACGCTCTTGCAGTTTGGTTTTTAGTTCGTCGTTAGAGTTGGATTGAAAGCGTGTAGTCGGTGTAGATCTAAATCGATGTGTCAGCAATTAGCGGATCCTATATTTTTATCACTAGGCACTAGCTAATACGCTTCGGAAAAGGTTCAATTCATTGTTTGAGCTGCGTATTAGTAAAAAATTCACTTAAAAACATGCATTTTCTAATCATTAAATTAATTTAAAAAGTGATGCCAGAATGCAGGAAATGCTGTTTCAGAGCCCCCAAATTTTAAAATTTCTGTGGGGGGGGACTAGTTGGGTGAACCTAGTTGGGTGAACCTAGTAAACCCATCATCAAAAACCCTGGATCCGCCCCTGTACAAGATCATCACCTGAATTTTTTGCACCCCCCAGAGAAAAATATGAAAATCCGCCCTTGCACTATACACAATACTAAGATTGAATAAATTACTGATGACATACAAGCCAATTCAGAATTTTAACTGCGCATCCAAACGACGCGTTCTGCATCGGGAGAACTTGCGGTTGCATGAATATTAATCACATCGTGGTCCATGCATGTATACCGTCGCTTGCAACTAAGCATGAAACATTGCCTATTCGCGTGACGAAGTTCAATATTTTTCCCAAGAAAATTAAATGTCAAGAGCACTTTGATTGAAACCATCAAATGTCATCACAAACATTGAACTTTGTCGGTAAAAAACATTAAACTTTGTCGGTATTAAAAACATTGAACTTTGTCATGAGAATATACAATGTTTTATCTGCGACCGTTCATCCGTAGACCGTAGTTGCAAGCTACGGTATACGTGTGGTATTCAGCGGTCCAATCACTATTTGTATTCCACAATAGAACTGCCATAATTTTTGTACTATTATTAATAAGCTTTATTTGCATGACCTAATTACAGGTATTGCTAAGCGTATAAATCGTAAGTATATAAATGTTAACTGGTGTATAAACTACTTTAACTAACTAAAAACAATATACTGCTATTTACATGTATAATATATCAAATATGAAGGATATATCATTATATCATATATGACAGAACAAATATCAAAATTTAAGAAAGGATTAGAAAGAGTTAGATAATATATAGAAACTTGTGACTTCTGGTTTAAAGGCTGTTGTCTCTGATATAAAAAACATTTCGAAATATAAGTTCTTTGTATGTTTGCATGGCGATAAAATATAATAGTTTTGTTTGTGAAAACACCACGTAAATTTACGGCTGCAATTGCAAAGCTTTCGATCCGGCGTAAGCCCGGATATTTTTATTTTGAAATATGTTCCGAAAATAGATCTGTTATCACAGGGTCATTCAATGCTATAAAATCACTTAATAATTTTCTCTTTATAAATTCATCAGTGATGCTCATTTGGAAATAGTCTTTTAGGATGTTGTGCGAGTTATTTCGCAAATTCTCATATTTTTCACATTCAAATGAAAAATGAAATTCATCTTCAACTGCAATTTTATTGCAGTATTTACACAGTCTCTCCTGTCGAGGTACATCGCTATAACGACCGAACTCAATTTCTAGTTTATGATTACTTATACGAAATTTTGAGAACAGTCTTCTTTGATTAGGGTCTTTAATGATATTTAGATATTCTTCTAAGTCTTAGTGTTTTTTTAATGTAGAATAGAATAGAATGACAATTTAGTAGAGTTTTTAATTTGATTTTTCCAAAATGATGTGTAGTAATCGTGTATGTTTGTACCCTGGACAAATTTTTCAATATCTAGCATAATGAAAGGTACACTTAACTCTTAAGGGGGGATATTTATTTTCTGGCAAACGTTTCAGCTTGCCCGATGTCAGACTATGTGCACACGGTAACGTTTGCGAGCGTTTTCATTTGTGTTTTCACGCTAAAACGTATGCAAACACTATCAATTTACGACAGAAGCTGTAGTTTATTTAATATATTGGAGATGTTTTTCTTTGGATCGTGTGAACAAGGCGTCAAAACGATTAAAGGGGCAAAAATGTTTTTGAAAACGCTCGAAAACGACGCCCGTGTGCACATAGCCAGACTCAGTCGGAGTAACATAGCAAACACGCAGGCTTTACTAATTGTGTATTACTGTCCACAGGTTTGCTTTTTGGATGTTTCGGCTTCAGAAGGAGAGAAGGCACAGAAAAGTTTCGATGAAAAATATGGCAATGGAAAAGCTGTGTTCCTAAAGTGTGATGTTTCAAAAAAGAACGAACTACATGGTAATTTTACGCCTAGTGTACTTTGCGTAAGTTGGCAAGACCGGCGTGGAATTAAATTCGGGTTTCAGATTAATTAAGATTAGCCAAAAGCCGGACGTCAAATTTTCATGTTTCAAATCCAATATGTAAATTACCTAAAGTTCGTAACTTGAATCTCTTGCTCAGAAGCCGCGGAAGCATTTTGAAAGTGGAAGGGCGTTGACCAAAAGGGGCACTTTTGTATACAGCTATTTCAATTAAGGTTGTCCACTAGCAAAGTGGAAAAGTCGAATACGAGCGCGAAAGGCTGCTGAGAGTCGCTTTGAAAATTCATTAATTTGTAGGCGATTCCCAGCAGCCTTTCGTATTCGACTTTTCCGCTTTGTTCGTGGACAACCTTAATTGAAATAGCTGTATGACCAAAATCAAACGATTTTATGACGTTCACGAGCCGAACGAAAATTTTTGAAAATATGGAATCTCTATAACGTCGGAAATGGCCTTTACAGACTGTTTACTACTGCGAAAAGGGCATTTTCTTTCCAGAAAAAGAGGGCGTTTATTCAAGAAATACTTTTTTCGTTCTTTAAATGGGGCATTTAAGCCCAGAAAAAGGGCACTTTCTCACTTTTAAAAAAAAGTGGGGGGGGGGGGCACATGCCCCCATTGCCGGCCCCCGATTCCGCGGCCCCTGCAGTTGCTCAATACAACGCCCGTGAAGGGAATCATGATCAGTAATATCCTAAATTGGCCATTTTCTTTTTCCGTTGTCGATGCCGCAGACTGTTATCTCTACAGGTTGACCGACGTAAAATTTTGCATCCCCATTTATATTTTTAGAATTATTGCCTATATAACCAGTATATACTTCATATATTAAACAATTATTGAATGAGTTCGAGTAGGATATGAGGAATTATTAAGGCAGAGGTTTGTGTTATCTACCGAAGCCGAAGGCTGAGGCAGATAACACAAACCGAGGCCTTAATAATCCATCATATCCTACGAGAACCGAATTCAATAATTGTTTTATTATTTATTTGTATATTTATATATCGGACTTAGGGTAAACGCTTGCTAGCCTAGTTCCTCAGCCTACCACCCGCGGGCGAGTTACAGATTCCAAAAAATCCCGGTCAACCCGCATGCCTTTAAAAAATCACCCTTAATAATCAGGCGCAAGCGAAAAGGCCGAGGAACTAGGCTAAACGCTTGCATTGTAAACAAGAACACGCAAGCTACTGAAAATGGAACAATAATATAGTGTTCGCAAGACTGAATAAGCCAATCAGACTAGGAAAGAATATTTTTTAAACTGTTGTCATATTACAAAATCAAACAAATTAATTCAAACAAATTTATTTCAACTGAATACTGTATAAGCGTTTGAAAGAATGCTACAGACGTTACTGACCCCATTTACACTTCAAATATACAGAATATTTATATAAAAATACAAATTATCGAGAAAATATACAGAATATTTATGTAAATATGAAAATTATCGAGAAAATATACGGAATATTTGTATAAAAATACAAATGATCGAGAAAACAAGTGTTCTTCAACTGTTCTAACACGAATTTAATATTAAAGCTTAAAAGCTTTTGAGAACCGAAGCAAGTTCTTCGCTATTCTCTGGATGGTCAAGCTTGTTTTCTCGTAGATACTCTTCAAAAATCGCTTTGCTTCCTTTTGTAGCTTTTTTTGTGTGTACTGAGTCTTTTTCTTCCAGCAATTTTTTTATTTCAGCTTCTCCAAGGTCGGCGAACCTTTCCTTTGAGGAAGCCATTTGTATTTTCCCGCTTTTGGCATATAAGCAGCATAAATTAGTGTGACGTCATAATGTCGTATATGTGTTTTCAATATACGACCAAATTACGTCATAATGTCGTATATGTGTTTTCAATATTCAATGGTGATGTCATAACTCCAAGTTTGGGCA